TTAAACTTTTGTTTATCTGCAACATGAGATTGTTTTTTGCCTCCTTTTACTCTGATTCCATTGAATATGATGAATTCAACATTGCAGGATGTAAACTGATAAGATCTAATTATACGCACTGTGATTCTCTAAATCTGCACACATGGTTACATTTAATGAACTCCTAGATAATAGAAAGATTTTGAGCTATTATAAAACCATAACATTAAAACAAATGAAAATAACAGAAGAGTAGCAGCAAAAAGAAGGCATGAAGGGAATGAATAGAATGTAATGTCTTATCAACAAATGTGAAACAAGAGGAAGTTTTTGTACGTTTGACATGAAGACTGTAAAAAGAACAAAACAAAAACAAAAAAAAACGGCTTATATAGGCCACTGATGGGAGATTTCAGTGGGTTTTGTTGACAGGAGGACAAAAGGCCAGATTGTTTGTGCCATGTAGGTTAAGTGGGCACCACTGCGTACTCTGCAGGATAGATCATATTCACTCGCACACAAACATGAGGTTGCAGAATTATCTGCAGGGTTCAATATGCTTTCTCTATAAAATAAAAGGCAGCAGGGTTTACCTCACAGTTGAAAAACAGCAAGAGTCTGAGCAGCCACCGGAATCTGCAAACTACGAAGCCTTTTGTTGAATTATCCTCTATTACATTTGTTGCAAAACTCTTTAAATTTGAATGTGAAAATGCTCAAAAAAGAAGCTTTTTCTTTACTGAGATGGTGATTTAATGACTAGTTATAAAAACACTGGATGATTGATCAATTCTATTTGAACTTTTATAGGGTAGTATCTTTTTTATAATTACAGGTTCCTAGATATAGTCTATTATCTTCATTATCTATGAGTTTATAGTGCACATTTACTGCAGAAAACTATGTAGACCAACAATGAGTAAAACCATAAGTTCTTCCAAAGCAGTGGAGTTATTTTTTATCTTTTTCTATCAGTTTAATGCCTCTCTAAAATGCATTCATTAGCTTTAACCACTCCTTTGGTTGTCTATTCATACGTAATTTGCACAGCCTGAAATTGTATTTGTTAAGGTGGTCTCTAGAAGATGGGGAGTCTTTCAATGCCTCCTAATCAGAGATGAGCACTCAAAAGGATTCAGAGAGAGACCGAGACAAAGGAGGTGCAGGAGGACTGCAGATCCATTTAGAAAAGCCTGAGCATCCTTGGATAGATACAGACAGAGAAGGTGGTACACAACAGTGATGTTAGATAAGTGTTGAAGAGAGAGGGCTGCATCTATCAATTATTCATTACATTGGTAATACAGCCTCTCTCCTGCCCCAAATAACATTAGCTGTCCTGGATAGAGGCAGGCAGAGAGACAGAAAATGGTGGTGGGGGTAGTGAAAAGACACTGGAGACACTGAAAGAAAGTTTGACATTACAATAATAAGATGATGAAATTTTTTTATTCCATAGAATTAAAAAAATTGAAATTTCCAGCTTTTTATTTTTATTACATCTTCATTAGTACAGTGCAACTAAATAAAATCTCTTCATTTAACTCATCCCCTTGGGAATGCAGTGTAATTTGGCGGTGCCTGGGGAGCAATGCGGGGTCAAGGGCCTTTTGCTCAGGGAGCATGAGTGGCAGTGGATTCCAAGCTCTACCACCTAACCACTAGGTCGCCACTCCCCCTCTTGTGACCGCTTACTCTGTAGTAGGTTTCTAAACTCAGTGAATCATTGTTTGGTTTATTGATTTCTTACCAAAGTGACTTTTTACAGGTTAGCATTCATTTTATCATGTTCAATTGAATTATGCATGGAAGGATTTAAAGCTGTGGTTCAAAATGTTTCTCAATAACATCTTGATGTCTGCTGTCATTGTCAATAGCAGCAGCCATAAGTACAGGTGGGAGAGAGAGAATCTTTTGTCAACAAGTTTCTCCACATAGTTATCATACCTGCCATCTGTGTGCAGTGCTGAATGCAGCTGTGATGTCAGCAGCATGTGTAAAATCCTTATTTATATTGGGCGGGTCCCAACAAATTTGCCTCTCTTATCAACCATAAAAGCATAAATCACACAACACACACAATAAAACACATCCACTTTTTTATTTGTACAACCAACTTAGTGCTCCTTATTTGAAATCAGCGTAGATCAGGCACAAGGACGGAAATATTTAGACATGTTGTGTCTTTAATTGTAATGGGTAGGGCTTATAGATAAGGAAGAAACATATTCAGTGTCTCAAGAAATTAATTATTGTGGGAAAGTTGGATGTTGGAAACTGGCGCTACCCTATAAGTGCTCTATTTCACACCAGTAAAGGTTCCCTGGGTCTCTAAACAGTCTATCAGTTGAGTGGAAGATGAGTGGAAGGAAACTATGTAGTAGGAAATGAAACTTAAGAAAGGATGCATAGCATCCAGTTTTTAATTGTTGTTCACCGATGTTAGCTTTAAATGTAAATACTGGACATCAGCCCTTTTCACCAATAAAACTCAGAGATATAAAAGGTTCTGTTTTTGTGACAAACAATGAAGAATTATGGCTAAACCACGGCAGGTAAAATGCACCTAACAATTGCATTAGTCTGCATAAATAGTGTGCATAAATCTAGGAAGGTGCTTAAATGCCTCTTTATGTTTAAGACTTTGACATTATTACATGTCAGACTTGTTACTGCAGATTTCATACAATGATATTAGTGGGTGAAACTGACTACTACACTCACTGTAGTAGTCAAGTTTTAATGATTGTTTTTGTTTTATGTTTTTCATAAAAGCAACTAAAAAGCACTTTATTCATATAGAAGTCCCAGTCAGCTCTCTCTCTGTCAGTTGAAGGCAGCATCCTAACGTTTACCAGTCTGTGAAGTGGTATGAATAAAGCTGACGGGATGAGAATAGCATGTAGCTGTCAGAGTGGCTTGGCCTTTAAGAAACTTGTGTTAGCTTAGTTCAGCCTGCCACTATTCTGACAGCTCTGTTTCCAAACGAGAATTCCATTTATTGAAAGCATTCTGAGTGCAGTGTGAGTAATTGCAAAAGACATATTAAATGTGGGGATACTAATCAAAGTGTTAACCTGTCAAATTTAATCCACTTAAAAATCTGATGTCGTGATGAGTGTTTCAGGGTGAAAGACCCTGTCATCTGAATGCAAATTTAAGCATGCGTTTGTCTGAATCTTGACCAATGTGTCAGTTTGTTTCTAAACATTAAGTGAGATCTTTATATCTCTTGGTCTTTGACTCTTACTTTAAATAACATGAGGTGCTTTACACAGTGACTTCTATATTTTTTTATCCTGGGATGGTTGTGAAATTGCTGAGTATTTTCCAACTATTAATGCACTGCACTTCAAATGTGGATACCCTTTAAGCATGTTGTGTAAAAAAAAATACTGGATTTGGTGTGTTTCACTATCCCACTGCTTCACCCCTTGGGTCAATTTAGCATAACAGAACTGAATTATTATTTTTACACAGCATATATAATTTTAATGTAAATTGCTGATTAACAAATATAATCACTATAGGTCAGATCTGGACTGGAATTCAGGCAGCTGGCCCTTTTTTGGCTGAAGCCTGTTTTGTAATTATAAAACCATCTATTACCAGAGGTGGGTACTAACTAGTTACAAGTACTCTGTTACAATTACTTGATTAACCTTTTCACAAACTATTATTTTAGCAGTAATTTTACTAGATGTATATTTTCGTTTAGCAATATTTTAATAAAATATTACAATTCATACTTGAGTAAAATGTTTGGCTACTCCATCCATTGTGCAAAGTGTATATTGGGCGTGCAGGTGGCGCAGTGGTTAGTGTGCACGACCATGTACGGAGGCCTTAGTCCTCCGTACGTGTGCCGCATGTCTCTCCCCCTCTCTCATTACCCTTTTCCTGTCAGCCTACTGTTGAAAAAATGAGACACTAGTGCCGTAAAAACTCATAAAAAATATTTAAAAACAAAAGTGTATATTCATGCTAATGCGTATGTCAAAAAGAGTGCTCTATTGTACACAAGCTTGAACCCAAAGAAGATACATAGTAAGCTGTAAATATTATCACTGGTTTTTTATTAAAAAGAAAATTCGTTTGGAAAAGTGATTCCTCTGCCTTGAATAGTTTTTGTTTAATTACATGATTTGTTTGCTTTACTAAATGTATTAAATGTATTATAGTCTATAAAATCCCATGATTAGCACTTAGCTTTACATTTTTGTCTATCTTTATTGCATAATTTCCAATATCCAATGTTATGATTGGTTCTTCAGTACTTTTTTAACAAGTAGTTTTTTACTCCTTCTTAAATAATTGCTTGGATTAGTATTTTCTAATCTTACTTGGGTAAAAATATGAAGAAGTAGTGCTACTTTCAACTGAGTACAATTTTTGGGTACACTACCTCTGCGTGTAACACATTCAGTAATGTTTTGATGTTGGGCTGGCATTCATGTCACTTCACTCGTCTCTCTTACCGTGGCTCATATCCTTTCCCATATTTTCTTTTGATTTTATCACATCAGTGCTTGGAAATACTTGGTTTAGACCCGGTTTATAATTTCCATTTTTGCTTAATGTTTGATAGACTTTTATGACTTCATATACTGTTGACTAAAAGAGACTAAGAGTTTGTAAGAGCCAAGAAGAAAGGTTAGATGAAAAAAGAAGCCGCTTCCATCACACTAGTGTACAAAAATGTACAGTATCCATTGCAATTACTTTAAACATAAACAACATTACACTTTGTATAATTCATCACACACCAAGTAGCAGATAATCACTTCTGATTCAAATGAACTGTTTCATATATCAACTATTACATTTTCTTATTAACAATGATATAAGGAGAAGTCTGATCAGTAGATCACAAAAAAGTTTGCAAAGTACAAACTTTTTTTTTATCTAACCAAACAAATAGGGTCTTAGTTTTGGACTAAATGTTGGTTATCTATATATCGCTATGATAAAAAAAAAAGTGATTCTTTTGCTGTTTGTTATTTTTTCTCTATTTTCTTCAGAAAAAAGAGTGGCTATGTCTCAGCTGCCAGACCCAGCGACTGTTGTCAGGAGGCGGCCTTGATGAGCCTCCTCTTCCTGTTCCCCATCAGTCGCCGAAGCACCAGCCTTTGAGCTCACCTCATCACCAGACTCCTACCACCCAGCAAAGTCCTCTCCACAAATCTACCACTCAGCAGGGACCCAGACCAGCCCAGCCCCAGACACAAAAAATACAACCTGGAACTGGTGTTAGCGGACCTATGGCTCCCCAGTCTGCTAAACCAGCAACCGATGCTAAATCCACAACACCAGCTGCAGCAAAAGTACCGACCACAGAGGCCCAGAAACAGATGAAACCAACAGAGGAGAAGCCCAAGACAGAACCTGACAACCAAGCCGCCAAAGAGACTAAACCCTCACAAAAGAAAGGAGAACAGATCACTCCAGTAAAGGAAATCAAAAAGCCGAGGCAATATGACGTAAGTTAATTTCTGTTCTTTCCTCTTTAATTTAACGAAAGCTTTTTATAATAAAGTAAGTAAATAAGGTAATGGAATGTTTGAAGACATACAAATAGTATAGACTATTATATGTCACACAGAAAAGCATGTCCGATTCATCCATCCATCCATCCATCCATCCATTTTCTAACGCGCTTATCCCTGCTGAGGTTGCAAGGGGTGCTGGTGCCTATCTTCACCTGTCAATGTGCGAGAGGCTGGTTACACAGGGTGAACATGCAAACTCCATGCAGAAAGACCCCAGGCAGGAATCAAACCCGCTGCTCCACTGTGCAGCCCCATGTCTGATTCATACTTTTATTTATTTCAAATTTACAAAAAAGGACACCTTGTTTTGTCTTAAAAAGAGTGCCTGGAAAAAAGCTAAAAGCTCTGTACAAAAAGCATATATATATATATATAAAAGCAAGTATATGAGCAAGTTTTGCTTACACTGTTAAAGATTATTATTTTTGGAGTTTTGGAGCCCATCATTATTTCTACATAAATAATATTTAATTTTCTTTGTATTCATTCCTTAAAACTAAATAGCATATATTGCAACTGCAACCTTAACGTTTTAAAGCATATTTTATTTCTACTTATTTTTACGCTCAGTAAGATTTTGTTTAAAATTAGAATATTAAACCATCATTAAAAAAGAGAAAATATTCAGAAATGTAGGATTATTGGAAACTACTTATTTGGTTAAAGCTGGTTATCTCAAATTCATAAATACAAGACTGCAAAAAAAAAGATCCAAAAAACACCCTGCACTTTATAGTTTATACACTTCCTTCTGGTTCACACCTTGAATTAATTATAGTGTATAGATAATCCAGGAGAGAAATGGTCTAGTGCTCTACCATTTCATCTACATATGCTGTATTCTCAGTATAACATATTGGGATAGCCATAACTGAAAGATGCTAAATAATAATAGGATCATTAAGCCTCCCCTTACTTTTGTTGTCATTCTAACCCTTTGCGTATATATTGTATGGTGTATTCTTGAAGCCCTATGATCTGATGTGATCTGAGTGTATTTGTATTTGTTTCCCTTTAATTATTCAAAATTCAACCAATAGTCTATACTGATCTCACAAAAATAGTCAAAAAGTCAAAATTGACAAGATCTATTAAATATTTTTTTTATTTGTATGGTTCATAGGTCATTTATATAGCCCAATCCCTGAAATGAAAAGTAAAACTGTTTAGATCTTCTATTAAAAGGAAAGGATTACAGTTTTGTCGTGTTTAATTTACCTAAATAAAGACACTTGGTATTTGTTTTGGTTTTTTTTCTTTTCTAGACACAGTATGAAATACTTTTTTGTGCAAAAGATTTTCATTTTTGACATACTCCTAGTAAAAAAAAAAAACCATAATCCGTTAAGTTGAAAATAAAAACAATTTCCATTGTAAGCAAGCTATGTCAACAACGTTCTTGGTATCTATTATTTGTGAACCAAATGAAACACCTAAACTTCACTAAATCTCATACAATCTTTTTTCTTTCTTTTTTCTGTAGGATACAAAAAACAACAGCACCCATGACTTGTCACGCAGCCCTCAGAGCCTCAGTGATACTGGCTACTCCTCTGATGGGATCTCCAGCTCGCACAGTGAAATTACAGGTCTAATCCAGGAGGAGGAAATGAAGCTGAGCGAAAGGGGCATCATTGGGCGAGGCTCTCCTCCAAGTCCCTCTGAAATCACTAAGCTAGAGAGCTCGATGAGGCCACTGCTAGAGAAGAGCCTCTCGGAGGAAAAGCCAGACAGAAGGGGAAGAAAGCATAGGGACAGAGACTTAGATGACCGAGGGAAGCATCGCCCTCGTTCCCTTTCAATTCCACCAGATGCATATGACTCTGATGAGGAATTAGAGGATATACTGGAAGAAGAAGAAGACGGTGGAGACTGGGAAGGTAAACGAAAAGAAGGAAAGGAAGAAAGAAAAGAAAAAAAGAAGAAGGAAAAGGAAAAAGAGGCAGATCCAACAGAGATGACGGACGAAGAGTTCATGCGAAGACAAATAATGGAGATGAGTGCTGATGAAGACAATGAAGAAGATGAGGAGGAGATTGAGGATGATGAGGAAGATGAAGGTTACGGCTACCAGAAATCGAAGAAAACACATCATAAACACATTCTTTCTGATGCAGGGAAAGAAAAGAGGCGGCTGCAGCACCACTCCAGTAGTTTTGAGGAAGAAACCAAGACCTCTTCTGATGTTTTTAAGGGCTCTGTAGAGGAGGGGGAAGAAGATCTGATGGCATCACAGGGAGGACTGAGACGCTTTAAAACTATTGAACTTAACAACACCAATAGCTACAGCCGAGATATGGAATTGAGCAATGAAAATGATCTAAACCTTGATCGGGAGCCAGAGCTCGAGATGGAGAGCCTAACAGGATCTCCTGAGGAGCGTTCTAGAGGGGACTATTCTTCCACTTTACCCCCAACTTCATCTTCATATGGTTCAGGTCAGTCTCCAACATCTATCTCATCAATGGAGGAAGACAGTGACAGTAGCCCAAGTAGGAGGCAACGATTGGAGGAGGCCAAGCAACAGAGAAAAGCCCGCCACCGTTCTCATGGCCCCCTGCTTCCAACCATTGAAGACTCTTCAGAAGAAGATGAACTAAGAGAGGAAGAGGAACTTCTAAGAGAGCAGGAGAAGATGAGAGAGGTAGAACAGCAAAGAATAAGAAGCACAGCACGGAAAACCAAAAGGGATAAAGAGGAGCTGAGAGCACAACGGCGCAGAGAAAGATCTAAAACACCGCCTAGCAATCTCTCACCGATTGAAGATGCTTCTCCCACAGAGGAACTAAGACAAGCAGCAGAGATGGAAGAGCTTCATCGTTCATCTGCTTCTGAATATTCGCCACAAAGTCTGGACTCTGAGGCTGAGGGGTATGAATCCAAAATCTACAAGTCAGGCAGTGAATACAACCTGCCAACATTTATGTCTCTCTACTCACCTATAGAGAAATCATCCTCAACTACTACCACCACTGCACCATCATCAACCTCCAAACCTCTAAAAAGTGCTGAGGAGGTATATGAGGAAATGATGAGAAAAGCTGAAATGCTGCAAAATCAAGAGAAACTACAGCAACAGCAACATGCACGACATGGGCAATACTATGAGGAAGACATTAATGGACAAAATTATGACGACTATGACTATGAACAAGATCAAACAGGATATGACAATGAAGCAGCAGAAATTGAAAATGACATTTACGAGGAAATCCGACAGACATCTCAGAACATCACAAAGATGCAACAGGCCACTGATGAACAAGTTGAGATTGAAATTGAGACCTCATTTGCAGATAAGCAGCTTTTGGACACAGGCTCAGCCTTTGCCAAACTATTAGAGCAAAGTAATGCTCTGCTAACACCTGGGACAAGTCCCACCCAAATTTCAGCTCCTGTCTCCTTTGCTGAGAGTGGAAGTCGGATACCTGATGTTAGAGTAAGCCAACACTTCACTGCAAAGGATGGACACAAAGACAGAATCAAAAGCCAAGCAGGAAAAAATGGCATAACTCCAACAGTGGCTGCCACCACCATTGCAGCCTATGGAGTTTATGCCAGAGATGCTGTAACTCTTTCCCAAACTGGATCAAGCCACTCTATGACAACTACCCAATCAGAAACCTCACGCAGACACACAGGAAGTCTTGCCACATCATCCGCCACAGTCTCAAGTGTATGTAGCAAGATTGCAGAAATTACTCAGGCTTACAGCCAAAGAGAAGTAATAACCAGAAGGATAGGAGACACAAGAGGTGTTCAAGTGCGAGACAGCTCAACATCATCTGCTGAGAGAGTTATTGAACCACGTTCTCCTAAGTATACAACTTATTACAGGAGCACCAGTCCTCCTCTCTCTCCATCACCACCACCACCGCAAAGTCCTATCCGCTCACCTTCTAGAAAGGCTACTGCTGAGTTCTCCACACAGACCTTCAGCTCAGCACTGGGAATGGAGCCAGCTGGTTCCGGGCTAACATCACCTGTGATAGCTCAGGGAACCCAAACGGCACATCGAACAATTTCCCCACGCCTATATCGACAACAGTCTTCCCAGGAGGCTCCATACTCCCCACCTCCTGTTCCAGCTAGGCCAATGACAGTAAATACTGCAACTTCTCCTTTATCCTCACCTACTCGATTTAGCCGTCAGTCAACTTTTGATAGCTATTCTCCATGTGCAAGCCCCCCAGATACACCACCTTACCAACAATCACCCACACGCAGCTTTTACCGGCCACAAAGAGTGGAGAAGGTAAATGTAGGGACAAGCATGGTTACCACTGCCAGCTTGTACTCCAGAGGGTCTGTTTCTATGGATAATATCTCCCTCTGTAGAATATCTACAGTCCCAGGGACTTCAAGGGTTGAACAGGGCCATATGATTCAAGGTGGTAGTGTTGTAGATCTAAGAACTGCTACCCACTCAGCACCTATTATTATGACTGACCAGGGAATGGATCTTACTTCCTTAGCTACAGAAAGCAGGAAATACCATGGTGGACCAGAAGGCAGCAGGCATTCAACAATCATACAACCCCTAATTATGAATTTAAACACACAGGAGACCACCACACCAACCACTGTGAGTGTCACTGTAGCTGCCTCTATGTTTATGACCCAGCTAAAACAGCCAATGGTTTACGGTGATCCCCATCATAGTCGCATAGATCTAGGCCAGGGCATGGGCTCAGCAGTATGTCTTTCCCAAAACAAATCCCCAATTTCTCCTCCAACTGACCCCTCTATTCCAAAAATCGATGCCAAACTAGAAGATCTTAGCATCCAACAGAGAGAGCTCCAAAAACAACAAGAGAAGCTACAAAAACAGCAGGAGCTCCTTGAACAACAGTTACAACAGCACCATCAGTTGCAACAGCACCAACAACAGGCATCAGTTCTATCCAAGTATAACCTTAGTGGCCAGATCTCACCTTTAACCAAAAAAAATTTGATAGTTAGCCAGACGAGCATTGCGTCTACAGTGGTCAGTGCTGTCTCACCAGTGATTAATCCTGATCTTTATGCCGCTGGTCCTATTGAGCTGAAAGGGAAGTCCAGTCCTCCTGGTTTGATGTCAGGGGGTAAATCCCCACATAGTATGGTTGTACAAATGGATGGGGGACCAGAGCCAGTAAGGGCAGTAACTCAACTTGTGAAGGTAGAAGAAGGACAAGATGCAGTTGATCTCACAGGAGGCCAAATAAAACCTGACCAAACAGCATGTTGTGATGTAGTTTACAGACTGCCATTTGGTGGAAGTTGTGTTGGTGTCTCTGAGAAAGAGGGTATTAGACCTCCATCTGCCCCACCTATTAGTTATGAGGCTGATCATGAACGCCAACCTGGAAGGTACCATGAGTACCCAATGGATGCTCGTAAGGCCTACACATTACCTTTCCCTGGAAGGCTTCAGCCTTCTATGTCTGATACAAACCTTGCTGATGCTGGGCTGCAACCTTACAATTCTAAATATGAACCACAACTTCAGCCATCAGGAGAACTTGTCATGGATTTAACCGCTATGAAACAGAGCTATGGAGGATATATGGGTATGCAATATGGTTCCTATACAGACTTACGTCATGGAGGGGAAATTTCAGCGCAAGCACTGCCAATAAGAAGATATAATTCCTTGTCCAACATTAGCTCAGATTATGGTTATTCTGCTCGGGATATTGCAGGCTTCCAAGAAGCTAACTTGGCTCAGTACAGTGCTACAACTGCAAGGGAAATAAGTCGAATGTGTGCAGCACTTAATTCAATGGATCGATATGGAAGCAACCCGGACTTGATGCAGTTTGGAACCTTAGGTAGAGGTACTGGACCAGGAGCCTCCAGATTTGCAGCAAGTATTGGCTTGAGGCAAAGCCTAATATTTGGACTTGATGGTAAACCAATGTCTCAAAATCAAGCTCTAACAAATCTTATTAATGCCAGGCAGGCTAGTCTAAGAGCCATGTACCCTGCTGCTATTAGGTCCTCTGATGGAATGATTTACTCTACTATTCAGACTCCTATTGCCTCAACTCTTCCCATCACCACCCAGCCTGCTTCTGTACTTCGACCTCTACTGAGAGGAGTCTACAGGCCATATGCTTCTCCTAACATGACGCCAGTGCCCCTGGCTAGTCTCACTAGATTGCCAATTAGCCCAAGAATGCCATTGACTGGACAAGTACCACTCCGCTACCCAGCACCAGGTCTGCTTCAGACTACCTCAGTCACTGTCTTTACCACAACTGCTACATCAACTTCAGCACCAGGAGGAGCCCTTGTGCCTGTGTCTTCAACAGCTACTAGCTCAACACTCCAAGAGGAACCTGTTTATCTTGGTAAAGGTGCCAAAGTAACATCAGTAGATGTCACTTCATTACCAGGAGCTGTGGTCAGTTCGTCTGAATCACAGCAGCAACCAATAAATCTGTCCCAGACACATCTGAACACCCAACAGCAACCGATGACAATGGCTCAGCAGCCACAGCCGCCTCCTGCAGCCCATGCATACCCACCTTCAAGTCCAGCAATAACTCAAGGCTACACCCAATCTGCTGCAGGTCCATCAGTCCCAGCTGGTGGCTTGCCAATTCCATGTGGTCTTCCCCCTTTCCCTCCACCAGGTGCTATGCACAAAGAGGGCGAAACGGAGGCAGAGAGGCTCCACCGACAACAGGAACAACTCCTACAGATGGAGAGGGAGCGTGTTGAGTTAGAGAAACTTCGTCAGCTGCGACTGCAAGAAGAACTTGAGCGCGAAAGAATGGAGCTAAAGTTACATAGGGAGAAGGAGCAAATTCTGGTGCAGAGGGAATTACAAGAGCTGCAGAACATCAAGGATCAGGTATAAGGAGAATTAGGAAATGTGATTAAGAGTTACACAGTGTTAATGCTTTTTTTGTTAGTTTTTGTTTTGTTAGTCATGTTACTTGTGGTATTCTACTGATTTTAAATTTATTTTCATTATTTGAGTGTTTGTCATGCAAAGTGCACCTATTTTTTTCTAATTTATTTGATAAACCAGCAAATGTGTGTATAATGTGTATGCATACTTTTCAGTTCTTTTTAAATTATTTTTCAGTGGATTTTTGTTTTTATTCAAACTGTAACAACCCCTTCAAGTAGTTACTTTATAATTAAAAACTGGTATAACAAAAAAATCCCCATGTAATAATCCTTGATTAGATGTACTGTATGTCAGGAAAATGTATCTATCCTAAATTTCTAGGTCACCTTAAAATGGTGTGAATGCAGTTTTTCTTGAAATGAATCCTTTTACCTAGTGTTACCCCAACATTAACTGGGATCCGTCCGTTATTCTTAATCATGTGTTATAGTGTTTTTAAACTTTAGCAAGATATAGTATGACCACAGAAATATACTGGGACAGCTGAGATTATAGAAGTTGTTTTTTTTGTTTTGTTTTTTTAGAATACCATAACATTTTTTTTTGCTGATTTAGGACAAGTTAAATCTGAAATAACACAGAATACCTTGTCTTACACCAGCCTAGACAGTGTTAAATATTTTCAGGCTTACGAGTGCTACTATTTCTTCCCCACAATAATACCAAATATAAAACATTAGATATGTCAAGTTAAAAACGAAATTATTTACCTGCCCGAATAAATAAAATATTTATAACTGCTTTTATTTTTTATATTTGCAAACTAAACTGAAACCCCTTTGTTTTAAAAATATAATCCCCCTTTTTTTATAATTTTTAAAGAACTACAACTAATCCTAATTTCCCGGCATTAATTAATACAATTTTAATTCACACTGTGGAAATGGGATATAGTCTTTGTGTTTGCATGACTGTTGTATGCATATGTATGTGTTGTATGTCAGTGTTTGTTCTTTATAAAAAAAAAACAAGCAAGTTTTATGATCAATTTGTTCTGTCAAATGTTATGTAAATTAGTGATAATTTTAAGAGCATATTTAAATTTATTTGTTTCTTTGTTAACAATTTTAAATGTATTAGAAAAAACAACACAAACATCTAACATAAGCATTTTCTTCTCTTTATTAGAACAAGCAGTTGAAACTCTTTCAAGTTAACTCTGTTAAACAGGTGAAACCCACAGCCCTCTTAATGAGAATGAACAAGAAAAGGAATGTTTTATTAATACACATCTCATAACATGCAGTTAAAATTAATACCTAACCCTTTTTCTTGCACCAGTCTATTGTTTGAGCTGCGAAGAAAATGCTTCAAATATTTGATATAAGGCTTTTTAGACTGGTAACAATTACCAGCATATGCTGCACTTTGCTTTAGTTGCGCTTCAACTAACTAGGAACCATTCTTATAACTAATCCATCAATACAAGAGCTTCATCTTACATTTGCTTTCAAGAATCTTGCTTTGCAGTTTTGAGACCTACTTCATGGCCTTTTGTATCCCTCTTCTGTTGTCTATTTTCATTGTTGCACCTACACCTTTATTTTCTTTCATTACTTTTTTCTTTACTCTACATTACTGTTCTTCCAGAACATCCAACATGTTTTTTCTGTGTGTGTTTTGTAGGTATTACAGCAGCAGCAGCAAGAACGCGAGAAACAACTTGTACTCCAAAGGGAGCAGTTGGCCCAGCAGAAATCCCAGTTAGACCAAATACAGTCTCTGCAGCAGCAGCTCCAGCAACAGCTACAAGAGCAGAAGCGGCTTAAGACAGCTGCTCAGACTATACAGGTGAAGGAACTGAACAACATTGGAAGTTGGTTTTTAACCTTTGGGTTCCAGACAAACACTTGTTTTAAAATACTTAATTTACAAAATAATCGCTGTAGAAATTGATAATGATATTAAGACGATGCAGGAGAAAGTAAGCAGTGGTTTCCAAATGAATTGTGTAAATAGTAAATAGGATAAAAGTTTTATGCTATCATATTATTTTTTCTGGGTTTTTTTTACTGTTTAATTTTTCAATCATGTTGGAAATAAAACAAAACAATGACAGCTTAAACTCTTCTGGGAAGGCCTTTACAATGTTTTGTTGTATGTTTAAGGGATTTCCAACCATATTTCATGGAAAGTCTTAGTGAGGTCAGACACAAACGTTATATAAAAAACCCTGGCTCCTGTTGGGTCAGGACTGTTTGGGTCAGCTAAAGGTACATATTTTTAATGTCATGCTAGCTCATTTATTTTTAATTGACCACTAGAGCATAGTCGTGTAGGAACAGAAACAGACTGTTCACACAAATTTTTTAAAATATAATTGTTAGAAATTGTCTTCGTAAGAAATCATACAGATAAGCCCACATAATAGTCACTACCCCACCAAAACTATCACTATACAAAAGCCATTCAGGCAAATGGAATTCCACTGAAATCTGCAAAATCCAGACTCCAATATTGGTTTGCTAGACAGAAAAAAATATATTTTTTTACTTAAGAGAAATTACACACATTTCTCTACAGTCCAGTTAGTAGACTCTGTGTTTTTTGCTCCTCAGCACTGTCTGACTCCAATTATTGATTTTAAGTGGTCCTCCATTTTGTTCCCAACACTTAGAATGTGTACTTCTTTGTTGTAACACCACTAAAAGTTGACTGCGGAGTATTTAGTTGAAAGAAGATTTTACAGCTGGACTTAATGCACAAACAGTATCCTATCACAGTACTTTACTAGATTTCAGCCCCTGAGAGCGAACCTTTCTTTCACAAATGTTTTTTAGAAGCCACCTGCAGGCCCAGGTAAGGTTTACACATGTGATCATTTAAGTGGTTTGAAGACCTGAATTCAATGATTTCTTTTGCTATAGTGTATCTGAAGATTACTTTTCCATATTCCAGTTTTTAAATTTTTTTTTGAATGACTGTGACTTGGATGACTGGGAATCCTTAGCATATTTTTCCATATCTTCCTAATGGACATAGATATTGAGAACAGAGCCAGATATTTTGGATGTAATTTTGCAAGTGACATTTTTAGTGTTGCTTGTGAGTATTTTCTTTAAATAATGTTTACTGATTGCATTTATTTGTGGGAATCATAATATCGGGAAAGAGAAAAAGTCAAAACCCTTTTGGTAATGAGTGATTGTTGACAGCTCTAATCCATTCACATTTCTCAACAGCTGGATATGACAGGACAGCCACTGCATCCCTACATAGACTCTCAGATGAGCTCTCGCTCCCTCCCCAACTCTTCCTCAGAGATATGTCTAAGGAGTGTAGATGAACAGATGGAAGCCAGAGCTGGTATGAGGAAACATAGCTCCTTGAGCAGGCTGACCCGCGACACAACTGATGGAGATGGTGTGGTTTTCTATGGCTCCCCTCGCAGAATTGTGGATAGTTGTGTACAGACTGATGACGAAGATGGAGAGGAGAGGTAACAATTTTACTTTGCTTTTGAAGTGAGAGATGGAACACTCTCCTGGGCTATGAGTATGTAGGTGGTATAATGTAACAATGAAGTGCATCCAACCTCCCAACCTCACATTTTCATCCAGCTGTAGTGGGAAGATTGTCGTCTTCCACAAGCAAACATACTAATACCCATATTGCACCTTGTGTGTCGATGACTGAAGACAGTGTGCCATTTTAAGTCATTTATGGTTTTCCGTCCTTCACATCTAATGCAGTACACACAATATGACCTGATGCAGAAATAGATACCAATATAATTTGGACATCTCAAAAATTCAATACCAGAGTATTGCAACTTTAAGATACCACACAAAAAGCCCATTGACTCTATTTCTACGGTATCAACAAAACCACTACATCGGTTTCACTTCAGATACCCAATAATATCATTACTTGATCTCATCCATTAGAATGCAGGCACTCTATCTGCACCATAATTTGAAAAATAAACTGTGATTTGTCATTGCTGCCACAGTTAATTGAGGAGGTAATTTGTTACTCAGTGTCATACATAGTGTTCATACATAGCAGATTGTATGACTAGTGTTATATCTAAGGAGCGTACACTGACTCGAGCATAAATGCTTATGGATTTTTCTCTACAACACCAGGTACATGATGCGTCATCGCACCAGGAGGCGCGGTCGCAGCGTTGACTGCTCCGTTCAAACAGATGACGACGAGGATAAGGCTGAAACAGAGCATCCGGTTCGCAGAAGACGCTCTCGGTTCTCCCGCCACACTGAATCCGCTGCAACTGGCACGAGCACTGCTTCAACTACCACCTCAGCAACAGACACCAAAGCTGAATCATCCAAGATAGTTTCCTCCAGCATTGCAGTCCAGACCATCAGGGAAGTGTCCTGTCAGACAGAAGTTGAGCACCTAGGAAGAGTCTCCCCAGCAATTCATGTGACATTACCAGACCCCAATAAAGTCGAGATTGTGCACTACATCTCTGGACCAGAGCGAACTCAAAAAGGACAATCTCTTGCCTGCCAGACTGACCCAGAGGGGCAGTCACAGGGTGTTGTAGCTCCACAGCTCAGTGTGCCAACTACGGTCAGTCCATATTCTTCCTCTACCAGTACCGGAACATTACCATCTAGTTCCACTGACCTTCACAACCAGCAGCGCCAGCAGCAACATGTGGCAGCAAATGCAGCAAAATTTGAGCGGCGCCGACCCGACCCATTAGACATTAACTACCAGCCTCACAACCACCTCCACAACGAGTCCATTTCCAGCATCATCAGGCAGCAGCAGACTGCTCCAAAATCTCCACAAGTCCTCTACTCCCCTGTCTCACCGGTGTCTCCACACCGTCTGCTGGAGACCTCTCTGTCAAGTGACAGACTAAACAAGGCCCACGTCACTCCTCAGCAGAAGTCTTACACAGCCGAATCTCCCCAGCGACACCCATCTGTGCCCCGACCTATCAAAAGCACGCATAGGTCAATGTCTGACCCCAAATCCCTCAGTCCGACCACAGAGGAGCATGCCAAGGCCAGACTGTCCCTCTATCAACAACAAGCTCTCCAGAACCAGGTAAAGTTACTTAAACTGATCTGATGCTCTGAAAAACAGCAGGATTAACTCCTAAAAAATTATTAGATGAGAAATCTTGCTCATATGCTTTTATAGGGAAAAACTCCTTCATCAGGTTTTTAAAGAACTGACGTACTGCATTTGGTTTTAGATGGCAGTTTATTTACGAGTATATCAGCCTAGTTTTTCTATCATTTCAAGTCAGTTCCAATTATGATCTAACAAAATGGGGACACCGCTTGGGATCAAAAATCAATATTTTTGGGTCTTGATTCTCTCTACATGTAGACTAAAAAACAACTAAATTCTTTAAAAATCAGACAATGTGATTTTCTGGATTTTTTTTTCTCATTTTGTCTCATAGTTGAGGTATATCTATGATGAAAATTACCGGCCTCTCTCATCTTTTTAAGTGGGAGAACTTGCACTATTTTTGGCTGACTAAATACTTTTTTGCCCCACTGTAAATCTGTACAGCACAGAATTGTATGACAGCTAACACTAATTTTCTTCTTTATGTATGTCTTCTAACACAAACTTCACTCTTGTTTCCTGTTGTCTTTGTTTGTCTATATGTGTCTCCTTTGTCAACCTTGTTTTCTTGTTGCATCCTTTCTTGGATTCCTCTATTTCTTGACCCTTTTCTTCATTTGAGGTTTCCTCCTTTCTTTTTCTTTCACTTTTTTGGAAAATGTCTGTGCATATTTCTCTTTTTATCCGCGCCATGCTTCCTTACTCATAAAATTGGCTAAAACATTCTTGGATCTGTTTTCTTTTGTATAAATTCTGATTTTACTTTTTTTTTTTTTCTTTTCTTTATTTGGTACCTCTTTTACCTCTCATTTTTCCCAAACTTTATTCCAATTCTCTTAACATGGTTTATTTAATTTTGCTTCCTTATTTAATTTCTCATCTTGCTGCTTTGTGTCCCTTCTCTTGTATTTTGTTTTTTATCATCCATCAACCATTCTCTATTAATGGGAAAAACCTGTTATTCATGATTTTATTTATTCCTCAATTAACTTTCTCACGGTTGTATCTCATCAACTTTCCCCTGACCATACTGTTATTTTCCCTTCAAATGCTGTCCATGTTTTTTTACCCTCCACACATTTTCCCACTTTTCCTTCCCCTTCCTGCCTTTCTCTCTCTCTCTCTCCAGCTTGCAGCCTTGCAGCAGAGCTCTTTGCTTCGGAAGGTGAAGCGAACCCTGCCCAGCCCTCCTCCAGATGAGACTGCTACCTCAGCTCACTTGACCATGATGACACCTGCCCAACAACAGATCTACCTGTCCTCTGTGCCCAGCCTCAAGCCCAGCTCAAGGTCTGGCCTAGCCGCTAAAGCCAGCCTCCTCAAAGATCTCACCCACGAGCTGAAGGCTGTGGAGCAAGAGTCTACCAAGCTTAGAAAGCAACAAGCTGAACTGGAGGAGGAAGAGAAAGAGATTGATGCTAAACTGAGATACTTAGAACTGGGAATTCATCAGAGAAAAGAGACTTTGGTGAAGGAGAGAGAAAGAAGGGATATTGCCTACCTGAGATGTATGGGTGATACCAGAGACTATATGTCTGACAGTGAGTTGAATAACTTGCGTTTAGCAGCTGCTGCTGCATCACATGAGACAAATGGGCTACTAACAACCAGACCAAGCACTGCTCCACTAAGCCAGTTTACCAGTGACCTAAATACAGCAGCTCAGTACCCACCAACCTCATCTTTCCTCTCCTGTCAATATCCCCAGAGTCAACCAGCAGCACCATCCCAGCAATCAAGTTTGTCATACCAGTCATCTACATTCAATCAGCCTCCTTACCCAACGGTGTCACAGTCACAGGCACTGCCACAGCCCATGACCCTTCAGAGCCATGCCCCTCCTCCTGGACCTACCTATCAACCTCAAACATCCTATCCCTCTCACACCTACCCACAAGCTCAGCCCCCATACCCCCAAACAGATTTGGGGTTACCATCTGCGCCTCAACCTCAGCCTCCAGCTGGGCCTACGGGTTTTGGTCATGCACCACCTGGACAGCCACCATACCCCACCCACAGCTCACCTTATCCCAGTGCTGTGTCCCCCTACCCCACCCAAACGACCCCATACCCTGGGCAGCCCCAAGCTGATATCCTGACAGTTCACCCTGGAAGACCTAGACAGACATCACTTGCTGAACTTGAGCATAAGATGCCAACCAACTATGAGACTATCAGCAACCCAACAGTTGTGGTCACTACTACAGCCCAAGATGCTACGTTTTCATGTGCAGCCCCAGCCTATGGCCCATACACAGGAACAACAACTCTGGCAAGCTCCTATGGGCCATATGGATCTGCAACTGTTTCTAACAGTTATAGTGGTTACTCCATTGTGCCTCCAAGCACTTATGGTCCATATACAACAACACCAGCTGGTTCATATGGCCAGTACACAACAACTACAGCTAATACATATGGCTACACAACTACCACAGCCAGTTCTTATGGACAATATACTTCAACTGTTTCCAATGCCTATGGGCACCCTGTAGATAGTCCTTCGACATACAGCACAGCAGAAGGGATGTACGGAGCTCCTGGTTTAGAACAAAACATTCCAAGAAACTATATGATGATTGATGACGTAAGCGAGCTGACGGCAAAGGATGGGCTGGGCACGACAGCAGGGGACATGATGCATCATGGCAGTAGCGGGCGTTACCCCGGTGACATCCATGGCCATAGCAGCACAACTGGCAGTACGACGCGTGGGGGAACTGGCAGCTCCCCCTACGGCAGGGCACCTGAGGAGGAAGCAGCGATGCAGGATGAGCTGTACGACCACCACGGCAGGGGTAAGAGCAGCTACAGGCATGGACCTCTACGGGGCAGCAGCAGCGTGAGCGCTAGCTTGGGTGGGGGATCCCCCTATTTCTATGACTACGACTACAAACTTACTGGCATCCGCTCCGGGGTACAAAAATCTTTGGCATCCTCCAGAAGCCTTCTCGCTCCTGCTGTCATGTCCTCCAAGCGTAGCAGCAAGCACAGGAAGTTGGGGACTATGGAGCAGAAAATTTCAAAGTTTTCCCCCATAGAGGAGGCTCGAGATGTGGAAGCAGATCTGGCCTCCTATTCTACAGGTGAGGCTTACCCCTCATCCCACGTTCGAGGGCGACAGCTGATTGAGGATTATGGCTTCAAAAGGAGTGCTTTCAATGGCACCAGTGGCACAACTCATGGAAGTCGATACTATGGTATGACTGTGGATGAGGACGATCAGATTTACTACACTTCCTCTGGCCGCTCCCGTTCCCATGGCTATGGCATGGACAAGATCTCAGCCAGAGATTATCATAATTATCGAAGCAGATCCTACGAGAGAGATGACCGTTCCTACCGTTCTGGCTACAGAGGACGCCATCCAACTCGGCAGTACTCTGAGGAGGAGAATCCATTCAGCCCTTTAGGGAAATTGACGAGTTCTGGGAGATCTTCAAGCTTAGGTCGTGACCCGTATGACAGTCACAACAGTAGATATTATTACTATTATGGCAATTATGGTTCCAGTCACTCGCTGCCAGATGTTCAAGACCATATAAGGGACCTTCCACGGACACATGTCTACAAATCGGATGATACGTACATTATTGATGATTATCATTGTGCGGTATCGGACAGTGAAGGTAATTGTGGGAGCTACATTCCCACAGTCTCACTACCTACTACTGCTCCCACCGTTTATCTAAACGTCCCCCACCCACCCAGAAGCTAGGATTAGAGATATGACAAAAAAGCAAAGGACACAGATAGCCGTTGCATGCCAGTATTTTCGTCACCCAGAGAGTTACTTGGAAACTCTGAGTCGTGGACTGCTGTCTGTCTGTGCCTGTCTGTCCGTCCTTCCGCCTGTTCGTCCAGTCGTTTCTTTATCCGACACTCGCATGGTTCTTCAGCGTGGTCGTCTTTGTCTTCACAACTCTGACTGACTTGAGAGGTCTTTGCACGATGGCAATATTTTTTCTTCAACAAGTTATTGGCTCTGTTGTGTTGTTAATGGGTTTTTTTATTATTTAAGAGATATATGTCAACACTGCAAAAATTTTGTCTAAACAAAATGTTCTATCTAGAATCAAAATTGAACCTTGAATGCTTTATTTCAGTCTTCCATCAATACTAACTATGCAAGGAGAAAGATCCAAACTACTGGAAAGTTCTTTCTTGCATTCAGTTAGCGGCTAAATCTTAAAACAAACTTCTTGTCTACCTGACAGTTTTGCAGTGTTTATGATGTCATGTTTAACTTGTGTTTTATTCTGTGCAGTAAATATGTGCATGAGTGTAAAACTTTACTTTTTGCCTTTCTTTCTGTGTCTTCCCCTACCTACTTTCTTTTTGCATGCGGTTTGTCTTCCTTTTGCCCTTTTCCTTCTTACAGCCTGCATGCCGCTCTCTCCAAACGACATGGAGATTGATTGTGATCTGCTCTCGGTTTCCAAAGCCTACCATCTGGGCCAGGAAGAAACTGACTGGTTTGAGAAACCACGCTCCAGTTCTCGACACTATGGCAGCAGCCACTCTGGAAGGAGTCGGCATGGTATAAAGCACACCTACCATGATTATGATGAACCTCCTGAGGAGGATCTGTGGCCGCAGGATGAGTACAGTCATGGCGGTCGGCACTCATCATCACGTGACCACAGGCACCATGGCAGTTCTAGCCGCCACTCTTCCACCCGTCACTCAGATGAGCCGAGATCCTCAAGGTCATCTAAGGGGCATCCGAAAGATCCATCTATGCGCCATGACCCCTCAGGACGTTCTTCATCATCAGGAAGGCGTGGTGAGTCCAGGTCTGGAGGGTATCACTCTTCAGACTACTCCAGGGATCCTTCTGGACATCATCATGGCCAAAGATCTTCAAGGCAGGGAGATCCACACAGGTCCTCACGCAGCAAGTCCCAGGGCCAAGTAGACATGCAGGGACAACAACCAGGTAAATCTTTAAATCTGCTAATTTCAGTCAACTTGATTATATTAGATTGAGCAAGCAAGCACTTGCTCAATGCAGAACAGCTCAGTAATCAGGAAGAGAGGGGCAGAGGAGCAAAAACATCAAGCAGCTTAACTTTCTTTAAGCTGTTTGTAGCAAAGTGTTTTTATATCGACCAGATTTTGGCCGATCTCAATTAATGATTAAAATCGGCTTCATTAATCAGTCTGGCTCTAATTTTGGTCCTGATATGTGATGCTGATTTTCGGGGCTGATTATTTAAGCCCACATAGCCTTTTTTTAACTCCATTGCTTTTTCATCTTCCATTTACGTAATAATGACACAATGATTCAATGATTCATGATGATGAAATAGGTAAGCCAAAACCTTAAACCAATGAAAAAAAAACATTTTATTGGTGGGTTTCCAGAGGGAATAGCAATGCAGGTCCCTCAAGACATGATTGCTGAATGCACAATTAAATCAGCCAATGCATGAATGTATTTCCCAATATTGATCCAAGAAAAAAACTCCAATATCAGCCAAAAATACCCGCTGGTTGATGCGTCAGTCTATCTCTAATTCTTTTCTTTCCATTATATTTATGTGTTTTTCATATCTCACAGTTAATTTTTAAGGTCCCAGTTGGAAGTGTGATCTCTCAGGGTCTATTTTATTTCAGACTTTCTTTGCTTGACAAAATCTCTTACTTGTACTCATTATCTTCTGCTTTATCTGGGACTGGGTGGAATGGGCAGCATTCTCAGCTGGGACAGTTGACTTCCCTTGCTTTAGAGATCTATGCCAGCTTCTCTTAGAGAATGATGTCCAGGGTGTTCTGGGAGCTTCAAGGGGGCATCTACAACAGATTCTCAAGCCACCTCAATTGATTCTTTCAGATGTGAAGGAGCAGCAGCTCCATCTCAAACAGCTCTTTGATGGCCAAGCTCCTACCCTATCTCTAAGGGAGTGCCAAGCCACCCTGCAGCGGGAAGCTCTATTCAGCCAATGATATTTTGATCTTGTTCTTTAAGTCATGACCCTGATATCATGTTTAATGATTAAGTTAGGAGAAGCAAACAGCAAATTGAGGGCTTCATCTTTAGTCTTTGTGCCTGCGTTACAGGGGCAGCGGCACTGATTTGTCCGATCTGATACTTGACCTTCTCCACTTAAGGCAGGAAACCCCAAATTAAGAGCATAATTTGATGCATATAATATCATCAAGAAGACTAACCTCAGCAAAATGTATTGCAATCAAAGCACAAAATATATATAAAAGAGGTGCATGTAAACCACAATATGCTCCTTAATGTTTTATCTCTCAGTTTAATCCTATCGGTCTTACAATGAGAAATTTTGAATTCAGAAATCCCAAATGCATAAGCTAATACATTGCAGGACCCAGGATCCCATGATAATACCCTATTTATGATTTAAGAGGACAAAATGACCATAAAGGGGGGTTATTGGCTGCACTTTTATTTTATAACTAAAATGGGCTACAGAATCCACTGGACTGCTTTGTACCATAACATTTAAGCGCCCTCCTGGAAAATTTGTTTTGGTTTGTTTTTATGTTAACATCTGGTGTATAAATTCATCATCTTTTTATAGAATAAAGAGAACATTAAATATGGAGAGGCCTTTGAAGATAATGTACACCCTAAAATCCCTCTTGCCAAGAGAATCTAAAGTATAAAAGGCCAGAAAATCTTGCAAACATTGAAAAATAAGATATGCTTCTTCACACTTTCTCTCAAAGGTGCAACTATTGCTTTTAAAACCTCTAAGTTGCTGTATACCATCTTTAGGGTCTCTCATTGTTTTGTTTTTGTAAAAAACTGCTTGATGGCTTATCATTTCTTAAAAATGCAAGCCCTGTTAAATTAGGTAATTGCAATAGAATATGTGTAAAAACAAGAAACAGAAGATAACTGATTACAATTCCTTGACATTTTGACTTTTTTGACAAACCAATAGAATACATGGGAATATGTAAATCTATATGAAGCCTTTTCCCGGATGCTTACAATCTAGAACAGCCACCAAAGTTAACACTTTTCCAAAACTTTAACTTAATGAGTTTAGGAAGTAGATTACTGTTGGAAAAACCTTTAAAAACTCTGCCTTATTGTTGACAATACTGGATAGATAAGAAAATAAATCATGCTAGAACCAATGCACAGGGAAGACCTTTGCAGTGTTTTGAATGTGCTATGATCTGCTCTCTGATCCTAGAAAAGGTCCATGTTCTGAAGTAATATTTAATAAATTTTACTTAATTCAGGTTAATTGTATTTCCTCTATCCCCCAGAGATCAATACTTTTTAATTAACAATATTGAGTATAACATTTTGTTTATGCTGAAGGCAGCATCATGGATATGTTCTTTAGCAGGTTATTGCTTATTGTATTCTTAGACCTTCTGCTTTTGCTCATTTGCTTATGATATAAGTAATATAAACCCTATACTGTCCATGAAATGTTGCTTTAGTTTGGCAAGAGAAAGCCTCACAAAGTGATTTTTTACTGATTTATGACTGACTGACTTGATAAGTAAGACATAGACCATCTTTTTGGTGTTCGATTTTTTAATTTAATTACTCTTTTTATAGTAAGAGGAATCAGTTTCTGAGTAGGTTTGCTTTAAAGAAAACTCTACTTTTTTACCTCTATATAGGCTCCAGGTCTGGCAGTGGTTCAGGGAGAGCTCAGGGCTCTGCTGGTGGGCCCCCAGGATCAGGACGACAGGGAGGCCCCGGGTCCCAGACAGATGGGACCCAAGGACAGAGGACTCAGCTCCAACAACAGGCCCAGACATCTGCAGTCAGACCAGGACAACCTGGTACAACAGCAACCACAGGCCTCCAGCAGCAGACCCCAACCCAAGGTCAAGGCATGGGAATGGGCATGGGAATGGGTCAGGCCCAGGCAAAGCCGGGACAAATGGGACCAGCTGGCGGGCCCATGGGGCAGGCTAGGCCAACAAGTGCAGCAGGAGCCACACCGTCGACTATGGTGGGTAGTACAAAAAAAGTAGTCAAATGCACAATTCTCACTTATGAACATAGTTAGCTTTTTCCCGTCATTTATTGTTTTCCAGGGGAGTTACAACAAACAGAATGTTGTGTCTAATCACCTATGATGAGTTTTTGTTAAAGCGTTGGCCTGTTAAAAAATGTTTAAACAACTTCATCTTCTTTTTTGTTACTATGAAGGCTGTAAGAATAGAATAAAAAAGTTTATTTATAAATGACACTGGATGGCAAAAGCGACCTCAGAGTATAGGGTAAGCAGTTGCTGTAAAGGTTGAAAGTAATGTAGGTAAAAAAGCAAACTTGGGTTTACTCAGTCCAACCTTCCTGTTATCAGCTGAAAGTATGCTTCTCTCTCTCGGATGAACTTCTCAAATAACTCAACATGCAAAAAATTGTTTCTTTTTAGCATACATTTTTCCAGCTCTGTGCTTTCCCAGTCCCATTCAAAGCACTGCGCTGATAGAGAAAATCGTTGTGTCTTAGTAAGTCAAAGCTTTGAGGCGTCAAAGTAGGTTATTGTCAAATAATCTTTTGAAAACAATAATGCAATCTTTATTTGAAAATAAAAGAAAACTTTTCTTATATCAAGTAGGTTTTTTTGCAAGCTTAAATTACTTGTATTTGTTATTTAATTAGGTATATATATATATTTTTGTTTTGCCATCTGATCTAGAAAACTATTTATCTTCAGTCATTCACTCCTAAATTTTAGTCTGCTAATGATTTTCCCCTTTTTCTGTCCTTCTGTTTGTCACTATGTTGCCTTCGAAAAGCGTTTTTGCAGACCACACCCTGTCCTCTTTCAGAGTTTATTGAAATTCTGATGTGCGTCTGCTCGCAGGCCTTATCTAACACCTTCATTAACACAGAGGAAACTGATAACCAATGGGGCTGATTCACTGTCTGCTAGACGCCCAAGAAACTGGCGCTTAAAGATTTGCAAAAATCTATTCCTGTCTTTAATCCATCAGCCCTTTTAAAACTATTTCTCGGGAGAAGCGTGAGGTTGTGATGATAGTCATTGATTTTAGCTTCAGTAGGTGATCATATGAATTTGTTCTGTTCACAGAAGGCCATGTTAGTTCTTACCAATCCCAAAATAGTCATGATGTGGTTCCACCACTAAATCTTGTATTTTTCATTTCATTTTATGCTTGAATTTCAGATGAAAATGGCCCAAAAGTTTAGACAGAAAACCCATCCATCCATTTTTCATCACGCTTATCCCAAGCGGGGTAGTGAGGGGTGCTGGTGTCTATCTCCAGCGGTCCACAGGCGAGAGGCAGGGTACAATCTCCAGCGGTCCACGGGCGAGAGGCAGGGTACACCCTGGACAGGTCGCCAGTCCATCGCAGGGCAACACAGAAACAAACAGGACAAACAATCAGTCACGCACACACTCACACCTAAGGACAATTTAGAGAAGCCAATTATACTTACAGTCATGTTGCTTTTGGACTGTGGGAGGAAGGCGGAGTACCCAGAGAGATAGACAGGAAACCAAAATCCTAAAATAGGATTTTTTATTTAGATTTAAGAATATGTAAAATTTTATTTCTCTTTTGGATCCGTAAAGTATTTTAAAATGAATTGCAATTATTGATAATTCGGTAAAGTAGCTGTATTAAATTAAAACTCTGTATGCTGCAAATTGCCTTATAGGGCTTCACAAATGAGGTGCCACTGCCTGCGGCACCTCAAGATTAATGGCAAGATTAATGGCAATTATTTTTTTTTTCATTCTTTTCATCCACTTTCCCAGATTATCCACATTTTTAAGTATAAAGTGTGTTTCTTCAGTTACATTATTGTGGTTCACAAAAGCAAACATGCTGCAAAAAACCAAAACACACCACAGACACAAGTAATACAAACTCTTAAAACACATAAGGACCAAAACCAAGTGCAACAAAAATATTATAGAAATACAGAAAATAGGAGCAAAAGGAAAGTGCTAGAAAAAAATCTAAATCTAAGTAAGTAATTTTGTCTCAAATTAAGTGCATTTGTTCATGAATTGAGAAGGTAAGTGAGATACTTTGCCAATGGAACAAGAAAATTTGGATTTAAAATATAAAACAAATGTATTGTCTTATTATCTAATTATCTTATTTTAGGAAAAGAAATACTCATTCAATTTACAGATAATCTTATCTACATATTCAAGGGTAAATACAATTAATTTAAGAGATATTGACTTATTTCAAGATTATTTTTGCAGTGAAGCTCACCATTAAAAGAACAAGTGTACCATTCGATTAGTGCAAAATGGTAAGATACGATGTGATACTTGAGCCAAAGCGGACATGCGTGTAAGTGGTGTCCGGATAGGGTTGGCATTGAGGAAGGAGCTAAAAGAGGAAGCCAGTACGATATTCCTTTGCACAGCATAGGAGCTATAAGGTTTCCCATGGTTCTTTGTGTGACAGTATGCATAGGAACGTACTGTATAGGGTAAAGTATTACAACCACTTATTTAAAAAAAGATTAAACTTTTCTGTCTTTCATCGAACTATTTTTTAAAGATCGCATTAATGGATTGATGGTCTTAGATAAAGTTTACAGCTTATTTTATTTCTTATTTATATTATTATATTCAGTGATGGGCAGTAGCGCCGCTACATGTAGCGAAGCTATTAGTTTAACTACATTTTCCAGTAGCTTGACCGTAGCGTCGCTGCTTTATTTATCAAGTAACTTTCCTGTAGCGACGTTATTGTTTTGATCAAGTAGCGACGTAGCGTCCACAAACGCTACAAAATCCAGGGCAAAACTAAGAAATGAAACCAGGTTTTCTATTTTGAAACAACAATCAGCCACAAAACTACTGTAAATAGCAGTTTCAGCTGACGCTCTTATAAGTGGCGTAGTAGCACAGGCACACTCAGAAGGGTTAAACAAGCGCACCCTTTCCGAGGCTTTCGTTCTATTGGCTGGAAAGGTTGCTAGGCAACGATCCAACTGCTGTCTGAGAGCAAAACAAATCCGCAAGCAGAGCCTACGGGTTTGCGAGTGTAACAGAGCGCGGTTTGTGCGCGAAGAGAAGGAGGCAAGCGAGAGGAGAAAATATCTGTGCAAGAAGCATTAAATCTGAGAGAAGAAACAAAGTTTTGAGTGTGAGCATTATAAGTTTTGAGAGCAAGAAGATGAAATACTTTTCTCTAATTGAAGTTATGTGCTCTTGCATTATGGCAGGATAATTCTCCCATATCTATGTGCCACTACTCTAATTAGAGAGCAGTAGTGAAACTTCCATATTGTATTTTCATGGCCTAGTTTACCTGACAGGATGTTTACATAAATCTGTTTTTAGGCTGTGCACAGATAAGATTTTTTATGGAGGAACAGCTCTACCGTATATAAAATAAATACATAAATAAATAAATGCTCAATAAATAAATAAATAAGCATTCAATTAATTGCCTCCAAAAATACAATGAATAAATATGTAGGTAGAAATTAAATTATATGGTGAGACATATATATATATGTATCTCTTAATTAGCTTCTTTATTTTTTCACCTTCTTTTGTAAACAGTTTTGTTTGTTACTTGAATCAACTGTTTAATTGAGGTCTTTTGTAGGGTTTTGTTTTCCCTAGAGATGTCCATTGAATGCAAACTCATAGCCATGTCTCGGTGTGTAGAACACTACACAGTACCTTTAATTTGGTTCTAATAACAGCAGATTGTTTACTAGTTTGTCTACTAGTAATTACTTTAGTTTTTATTTTAATCTGCTGATCATAAAGCAATGTTTACACTGTGTTATGTCATTGGCTGATCTTTAATAAATATTTTAACCAGTGCATCAGACTCATTTTGAATTGACATTAGGTTGGTACAACGTTAAGTAGCTTCTGATGTAGTTAAGCTACTTTTAACACATTAGTGTAACTTAGCTTGCTATAATTCTTTAGGTGGTAGCTGTTGTGTAGTGAAGCTTAATTTATTGTTGAGTAGCTGATAGCTTAGCTCACTACACTGGACAAGTAGCTTGCCCAACACTGATTATATTCAGCATCTTTTGCTTTTCTCGCATTTTCTGGGATTGCAGCATTTTTCCTTGCAGGGTTTTTCTTTTGCATTCTTTTTTGCCTTGATGTGTTTGCATCAGTCATTATGTATGTCCACTAGCTGCACATTTGTATATCAGCTGCCATAGTATGTCTCCTGCATCATTACAGATATACGATGGAGGATGGAAAAAAACATCATTGACAGTCATGTTGTATAGATAGATTTTTATGTGATGTAAAATAAGGTCAGTACTGACTCAGGCCCACATCATTTTATGGGATCAAAAATTAGCACTACAGTTTTAAAATAATTTGATATTTAATATGTCTAAACAAAATGTATAAAGTGGAGGACAACTTTCCTGTGCACTTGAAAGACACCATTAAATAAAATTCAACTTAAAAGCTCTTATTGTTGCATAATTTGGATTGTAAAGTGGGAGCAAAAGGTTGTGCAACATTTTGACCATTTTGATTCTTTTGTTATTAAGCTGCTTCCTGCACAGATACTCCTGTTAAAATCACAACTGACATTTGTAGAAAAGCAGAAGAGAAGATAGAAAGTAGATTTTTTTTAACTAACTTGGCCCAAATGCTGTATTTTGCTGTAAAAAACCTCTCCGGTTAAAGATGGAGGTTATAACTCTTACTGTCTGTTTATTATTTTTCCAGCTTTAATTTGATTTCTTTCAAAAAATAAAGTTGTCCTTTTCTATATTTGATATCTAGATAACATTTTTTTAGATGCTATGGTAAATTCTGTACAATAATTATTCAAATTAGTCTTAGAATCTGGGAGATCTGATATTTCACAGCCGAAATGTTAGAGTGACACTAAACAGCCATGAGACTCCCCATCCATGCAAGTCAGCTTTCAGTGCGCTTTGACAGCTCGACAAAAGAATGTCTTTCTCTCCTCTCTGCTGTGTCCGATTCCGTTTTTTTATTTTTATTATTTCTTTCTGTCTTGTGTTGTCATTGTCTAATTACTGCCTTGTTGTCTTATTCAGGTTTTTGTGATAGCAGATGAATACTGGATCCCTATGATTTCCATCTGTCACCCACATCCAGATTACATAACACACCCTCTCTCCTATAGTCCTCCATATAAGAGGTATTTGTGGTTAAATGGAGCTAAACGCAGCTAAATTTGTCTTTCCTTCCATCTGCAGATGAAGATCGACACACCTCCAGCGACAGCGATTGGGGCGAAAGCGGCGCCTGTCATGGCCTCAAAAGCCGGCCAGCCCCCACTCACAGGCATAGGTGATTATTAATCACAACACAGACCGACACACATTCCCACCATTCAGCTTTTGTTATCCATTATGTGGTAGATTGGTAGATGCTTTGTTTAGTAAATTTGCATAAATTATTATTTGGTAGCAAACACCCTTATGTATCACATAAATAACAGTAACAAATTAACAAATTTAATTCAATTCAGATGTTATTTTATGTCATCTGGTTGTGAGTAACTGAATGGTTATTAGACTCAAGAGTTAGGCTAATCTCACGACGGGGATTATATTAAACTAAAACTTGAACATCATTTGAAAGGCACCATTAAATGTTTGATTTTTTTTTAATCAGTAAATTAAAAAAATTTATTTCTTACCTATTAAAATCAACTTAACACCTTTAAAAGTTATCAAGTATTGAAATGTTTTGAGCCCCAAATAAATCATGATATATAGATGTGGGAATATTCCCCAGCAATCCCAAGTAAAGATACTGTATCTGTAACATCTGTATTTTTCTGACACCTTTAAACTACAGCTTTGACTTGCTTTTTTATGAACAGCGCACACAAGCACAGGCAAGCAAGATCCTCTTAAGATGATTAATTAAAACACTTTTATCAATAATTAATAATGCACAATAAACTAATCCTTTAAAATTCTGCAATACTTTCTGAAACATATAAACATTTGTACATAGAGGAGAATGTACAAAGGGTACATTGGAGAATTACAATGATCTCCTGTTTGATTAAAAAAAAATAGGACACTATGATAAATAATTTTTCCCTGAAGTGTAAACAAACAGCCCTGTTATTCTCTAATCTGTTTCAACCATTTTCATTTTTGTTTTCTGGTCCAACGATGTGCCATATTCAGTAAATAATACACAGCCTCCACTTTCACCACCACTGAACCCTTCCTGCTCGGGTCGTCCTCTGTCCCTTGTCTCTACCTTTATTATTTCTGCCCCTCATCCTCTGTCTTTCTGTTCAGGCTCTAAAGCGGCTCCTAGACCCGGGGGTATCGGCAGTGCAGCAGCAGGTCAGCCTGGCATGGAGGGGGAAGGCATGTTTTCCAAGATCCTGCCTGGAAGCGCTGCTGAGCAGGCCGGCAAACTGGGAGAAGGTATGACAAACAAGCCGGGTTTTTTTTATAGTGTTTTTTCTTATTTATCCTAATGGTTATGCTCTAAGACATGTTAAATTAAGTGGAGGAAATTTGCCTTAGAAAATATATATATTTTTACAGAGAAACTAGTTAAACAACAGTAACAAAACAAGAACAGTCTGCTTTTCAAACTGCGTATCTGAAAAGATTACAATTTGCAAAAGGCTCAAGACTAAAAGAACCAAAACTATATGTGTGATGTGGTTCTAAGTATAAAAAAATGAAGTGTGTTTAATTACTCTTCAATTCCATATAAGAGGAAAATGCATCACTTCTATAGGCTATATATATAGCCTATATATATATGTATATTGTATTGTATATTTATGCTAATAAAGGGTGTAAAATGAAGAGCCTGCTGCTGTGTCAAAACACAGAGGACTACGTTTTCCATGATATCACATTTAAAAAATATATTTTTAATAATGATAATTTCACCATTTGGGGAAGAAAGTATACTCCTGTAGCATCATCAGCTACCAAGTGGTCAGCGGTGTCATTAAAAACCAGTGATACAGCATTAAAAGAGGAAGAGAGAGAAGTTCAATCTAAAAAAGTCACACGGAAAGAAAAACACAATTAGAATCATTTAAACGACACAATTATTTTAAGACTTTGGCGCTCAGACCTCTGCAGGAAACATTAGCGCTGGATTTTACTTTATACGCATATGCAGGTGTATGAGACCAGGGATGTTTTCCCCCCCAGGCCTGAAACTAGTAGTGGAGTGCAGATAAATGAAGTTGGTCAGTCTGTAGACTGCTGGTTGGCGAGACGATGTGCTTTAGATGTATGGAGAGATCCAGTAGACTGCATGAGCTGATACCAGTGGTTCACTCAGGGACCTGGGAAGATTGAAGTCCAGCTTGGATAACACAGCATGAACCTGTCTATGATGAGCAAGCATGAAGCGACAGTGGAGAGGAAAAACTCCCTCTTTGGAAGACGCCTCTGACAGAACCAGGCTCAACATGGTGGTCTGCTGCCGGACCGGTTGAGATGAGAATTAAGTAAGAGTCCGGGAGGAATGACACTGATAGGGGAGAGGTTGAAGAAGCACTGTGGGAAAGCCAGATGGAGCTTAGCTACGATGGAGGTGGATTAAATTAGGGTCATCTGAGTCAATACCACACATAGCACAACCACTGCTTGCATTTGGCTGGGTAGCAAACTTAAAGACCTTTAAAGATGAACGCTGATTAGGCGTCTTAGAGGTGCTGTTCAAAGCTGATTGGTTTGCGTCAGAGACAGATGAGCCTCTGATGATGAGGGCAAGTAATTCAGTTTCTTCAGTTAAACTTCCGCATAGGCTTCATTTAAACTCACATACATAAAGGGGATCATCTCCAGACTTCACACAGTAATGTCAAAGAGTTTAATAGCTGCTCCTTAACTGCTTAAAACTCATGTATTTAATGTTATTCTGCTTGCTTTTCCTGCAGCCATCTCTGGGTTTGGGAAGAAATTCACCTCCTTATTTTGAGGTGACACAAATAAGGTATGTACTTTTTTGTTTTATATTTTTATTCTATCATAAATATCGAATAGAAGGACTTCTACATTTCTTGTTAACTAAAAATTAGCCTCAATGGAATTAGATGGTGTTTTTGATGATGTCACAAAAAGACAAAATGATAGCTGATGTAAAAGATGTAAACCTTAAGCAAGGGGAGATTATATAAGAGCATGTTTGAAAAGATCAGAACGGCTTCCTATCTGAGTAAAACCAGAATCTAAAGTGGATTCACACAAAGCAGGCCTCCATCTCTAGAAAACCTAGAAATAGAACCTTAGGGCACAACGTGAGCCAAGGAAGATGAGGAAGAACTAAACTGGAATTAAAATTCTCTACATCAGCAAAATGACTTCTGAGATTTTAAGAGAATTCAATAAGCGGAGCTCAAAAACAGAAAGATGTCTATCAATATGCATCATGTTATTAGTCTGTTTATGCTTTTTATATTAATATAATATAAAACAATCTGTTTTAACATGATCATATTTTTACAGGACTCTAAAATATGTCAAAATGAAGTCATGAGGCCCCGTACAAGAAAAACCTCTGAAGTTCCCCCTGCTTTTGTTTTCTGAAAAAAAAAGAGAAAAGAAGGAGAGAGAGAGGATGATTGCTGAAAGGAGGCTGAGCATACTGGTGAGTATAGGAGGTCTACGGTTCAGCTTTTTTGAATCAACGTGCTTGCCTTCTTCATTATTTGGTTAGGAAAAAATGTTGTTTTTTTTAGATTTAATGCAGCAGATTTAATACCCTCTTTCAACAGGTGTGCATGTATTTTAGCAAAAGTGACTTGATCAGCTTTTAAAAGCAATTAAATCTAATCTCAAAACTGCAAACAGACCAGACATAATTGTTACAGAAGCAAAATGTTGTTTTTAAAACTTCTGCACACAATGAAAGGAGAAGCAAACATGGAAAGCTCTGAAATAACTGATAATTTGCAGATAAAAGCCCTTCTTTAGAAGCACAGTTATTATTTGTGTGTCTAGTGTATTAATATTCTATGACCTTAGAGAAATAGCCGATTTATTAATTGGTCAAAAGCCTGTTTGCAAACATTCATTCTACAAGGAGATGGTTATTTACAAGTGGAAAACATTGAACACAGCTGTCAATCGCCCCAGTGATGTCCTGGTTAAATTAACTCCAAGATTCAACCAGAAATAAAAATAACAAAAAACAAAGAGCTACATCTTAAACTCCTGAGGTCTCAGTTTGCATGATTAATTGAGCTTAAAGCACAGTATAGCACTAGTATGTTCTTTTTTTTTATCAACATTTATTTTCACTCATAACAATGTATTTTGTTGTTTTCAGCCTGTTGAAACACAAATAAAATAATTTCTCTAATGAAATCTGTAAGAGGCAGACACTTTAAAACTGCTGTATTCCCTACAACTTTTTTACATTTATCAGTTCAATAAAAGATTTTGCAGTCTAATTCATTAAGATAAGAATTTTAATCAATCAACACCAATATTTAAATAAAAAAAAATATATATTTTGCAGCAGGTCATGTTTTTTCAGCGTAAGCAACAAGATAACTTCCATTGAAAGGAAACATTTCACCTACCAACACCAGTTCAGATGCTGCATTTGTTTTCACAATCACATCAAGCCGCCCACATAATCCTGTTTGTGTTGTGATGATCATCTGTGATTAGAGTTGATATCTTTTCCATCTGATCTATAAGCTGGAGCAGTTTGACCCATCAGACATGCAGTAGATTAAAACCACATTATGAGAGCGATGACAGCTGATAACGACCATTTATCTGTCTAATAAGGATTAAAGTTGCTCTATCATGTAGTTGAGCTGTAGAAAAAGATTTAACTAAAATAAAACCTCTATGGGTGCCATTAATAACGTTTAAGTATTCAAGCATCTTTGGAGAAAAGCTATATAAATAAAGCAAACATTATGATACTTTTGGAGATTTCATCTTAAAAGATGAATATATTTTAGAGAAAAATCTGTTAGTTCATATTTAATACACTAAAAACATGGTTATCGAAACAGTGATCCATGCATTTGTGACTACACGGCTGGATTACTGTAACTCACTTTATACAGGGGTCAGTGACTTGTATATTTCTCATCTTCAGAGGGTTCAAAATGCTGCTGCACATCTTTTAACAGGTACACGAAAATTCGACCACATTTCCCCTGTTTTAGCTTCCTTACACTGGCTGCCAGTACATTTTAGGATTAATTTTAAAATTCTTTTATTTGTTTTTAAAACTCTTTATGGCCTTGCTCCTTCTTATCTGTCTGAGCTGTTACATTCTTATACACCCTCCCGTTCCCTCAGGTCAGCTGATCAGTTGCTTCTAAGGGTCCCAAAGACAAAATGCAAGCTCAGAGGAGACCGTGCTTTTTCTGTGGCAGCTCCTAAGCTGTGGAATGATCTGCCTCTGAGCATAAGACAGGCCTCCTCTCTTGCTGTTTTTAAGTCCCTTCTTAAGACTCATCTTTTTTCCTTGGCTTTTGGCACAATTTGAGAGGTTTTACTTTGTTTTATTCTTTTTGTATACTAATATGTATTTTACACTCGTTTTTTCTCTATTTTATAGTTTTATTGTATTTTATGATTGTGTACAGCACTTTGGTCCTATTCGGTGTATAAAGTGCTTCATAAATAAAGTTGGTATGGTATGGTATGGTTATGGAGAATGCTTGAAGCTTTAAAAAGAAATTTTTTTTGGCATTCTCAGAAATTAAATTGAGACTATTCATTTTTAATCGTAGGTGATTCGGAAATTTGCTTGATTTACATGATCAGTTACCTATTCAGGTTCGAAGCAAGAAAGAAAACATATTGACTGAAATAGCATTTCTAGCTTTGAGACGGTTTATAGTAATGTGGAGGGGGAAAAATAATCTCATTAATGATTCTAGAGCCGCTTCAGCAAAACAACCAAAGTTAAAATGATGGAAAGTTTTTTTTTTTTTTTATTAGCAGACTGAAAAGTGGCTAAAATAATAAGCATGTATATTGAGGTTTGGTGTTATTAGCTGCTGCTGAAGGCAGATTAGACACAAATCAATCTAGATTTTGAGTTAAAAATGCATTTCTGAGAACAATTCATTTCATTCTATTATTCTTTTAACTTTAAGCAAAGTTATATTAACTTCTCCACCAGTACCTGAGAACAAATCCTGCAGGTCCTTTAATTTTACTGTAAGCCTTTTGATGGCATCTTCCTCCTTCTTGAGTTTCTTTTTCATTCATTTAAACGGCAACTAATGACAGAGATTTCATTTCAATCCTTATCTTGAATGAATGAGATCCCTCCAATGCTTTGGGAGCTGCCATGACCAGGTCTTTGCCCATCAGATGAAAAATTGTAAGCCTGTCTAACGACCTGAAGAGTTTTTTACGGTAATGTCACAATAATGGTTAGAAAGTTTCTGAAAGGATTTATCCGTTATTTTTACAACACAGAACCCCCAGGATTATGCAAACTTCATAAATCCACTGGCCTATGATATATTTATGCATTATTCTAAATACTGAGAAACTTCCATAGCTGTTTGGTAAATTCCTTTTATAAAGATACTATTTTCCAAAAGCCAAGTTAAACTTGAAGTTACCTTTGTGAGACATTAATCCTGCCCTGTGATTTAATCCCAGCTGTAAGCTTATAGACACCAGGGGGAAAGACTTTAACCAAAATACTTCTGTCTCTTTTTGCAGCCAAAACAGACTGGAATCCTCTGGATGCTTCGTGTCTCAGATCTGAGCACACAAAGGCAGAGAGAAGACTCTGATCTCTCTGACAGGCCAGACAGTAAGTTACTATTACCTTCACACACACAAAAAATGTCTTGAAAGATTTTTTATTGCTGTAGAAATCCAAACTTTATGACCTTGATTTCATTTTGCAATTTAATTTTAAAGGTTAGCCTGCATGATAACCAACTAGGTTATCGGGCTCCTTATTTGGTTGCATATGGTTTTATATTGCTCTATTAGGCTTTTAAATTACATGTAAATCTGAACTAATCAGACTTTAGTGGAAATATTTTATGTAACTCATTTCAGAAAGTTGGTTTTTTTATAGTATTTTATTTTGAGAAACATATTTCCCTTCATTATTTCTTATGTTTTAATTAATACTGACTACATATAATGAAATTTCAAAATGGGTTTCTCAGAAATTTACAGAATATTGAAAAAGATCAATATCTCATGATGTAAAACCCTAAATACCCAACAGTAATTCCCACAAAGAAAATGGTCCATCAGTCCCAGCAATAAACTAAACATTAATGAAGGAGACCTTTAACTCATAGATGTACAAAAGTCACAATACTTTAGTGTTTCAAGATGTATTTGTATAGTAAAATACATTAAATATCTTACTATATAGAAACCTACATTATATCCCAATCACAATTAAAGAGGAAGATTCCTGTCTACTCCTCATTTTTAGAATCATTATGCATCGACTCTGAAAGGAATCATATCAGTTTGGTTTGAAAAGAAAGCAAACAAAAGTAGGTATCATTATAATTTAATTTCACTTAATTCTCTTCATTGATGATTGAAGAAACATGCAAATATTTGTTAAATACTAGTGAAAGGGACATGAGCGATAATATTAGGGAATAGTACATTTAAAACATTAATATTGATCCATTAGAAAAAAAAATCTTTTTTTTATCCAAAATTTAATGGTCTGTGTGATCAAATAAATAACATTCTAGAGCCAAATACTTCCTCGGATTCTAATTTAGGATGGAGATAATCCAGAAGGATTTAGGAGAGTCTGTCTGTCAGGGTAACTTAAAGTTATGGAAAGTTAAAAAGTTATGGATGGATTTTAATTATATTGTTATCAGAGGTTTCCCGCATGTCAAGGAATAATTTATTGTATTTTGGTGATGATCCATATCATAATCTGGATACGGGAATTTTAAAAAGATTTTCTAACATTGTGAGATAGGGATACCAAGCAGTTCCCCACTAAACCAGAGGGTGGCAGCAGTGACTATTCACAGCCTCAGCATCGGACTCAAAAAGTCTAGAGGTATTTCACTGAAGTCACCAGAGGTGCACCTCACGCCACTGAATAATTCATTCAAATTTGGTAATATTCCAGATCACGTGTGAGTTTTAGTTATAGGTGGAAAGTCATAATTTGGGGAAAAAATTTCCCTTGGTGGAGGTCCATTTGTACATATCAGGGAAAGCTAATTCTGAAACACAAGGTTGATTTTCTGGAAAATGTCAGAAGAAGGATACAGCATTGATCATTTTAGCTTGATGAAAATACACTTATATTGTGTTTTATGATGAGTGATTCAACAGTTTAAAAATGTGGATATGGTTCATTAAAGTTTACCTGCTGCAGGGAGAGGCCTTATGTGCCATCATGCTCTTCAAGACTCTGAAGCCTCTTGGCGCTTCGATGTGACTACCTGCACCTGAAAAAAACTAAAACCTGGATTTTATTTGAGTGGCTCACCTTCTTTAGAGTCAGCTATAGAGAACAGTCTCAGGATCCAACAGTAGATATAGTTCAGACCAGATGTTTACATCCTTTATATAAGAAAAACAACATTTCCGCACTTTCTAAACAGATGTAATATTTCCTGTCTTAGTTAAAGGAGGACTACTTTGAATATCTATATTTGCAAAAATTTACAATATTAATGAATATTTTATTTTCAGAAATGAAAGTATGAATTGAAATTCAGATTTTTATATACACAAAGAGTGTTATAACTTTGAACATTATGGAAAGGCCAGCTGATAATGTGATGCCTTTTTGCATTCTGACAGTTGATTCAAGGCCAAATATTAGACTGCTTTCTGTTGTGACACCAAGAACAAAATCAAATTAAGTCAGAAAAGATATCAGCCATCAACATGTGAATGTCCAACCATCATAAGGAAACTTGGAGAAGAAGTCAGATCGTCCAAAACAATTAGAAAACAGCAAATTGCACTTTGCAAAAGCATTCGTGGGTTCAGCAGGTGGGGAAGGTGCAAAATGGAAGGTATCATGAGGAATTAAGGCTACATAGAAACACTAAGATTCGGTCAGGGAGGTCAAACTTGGAAACAAAATGGTGTTTGTAAATGGAAAATAAAGTGGCAATCAGAAAGATCTCAGTGCTAAAGAAAGGAGTAGGAATAAGGACCAAAACTCCATTACACTGTTTTTTTTTTTTAGAAGCTTGTGGAACAAAACCCAACAGGTCAGACCCAAGTCACTCAGGTTAGGGTTCAATCCTGCCAAATAGAAAGAAAATTTAGATAACCTGAGGAGCTGAATAACAACATTCTCTGTTTCTCTTCCGGCAAGTAGAAATAAGTTTAGAAATTTTAACTGAGCTAAGATTTATTTTATGTCAAAATGTGAAAAAAAAAAAAACAGTGTTATTTTGTCTCTTTTAATTCAGTGAAAGTAAATATCTGGTTTATGTACCTGAGACCAGATGCATACGTGCGTACGGATACAGTAGGCAGAAAGATGGATCATGCAAAAAAGCTATTTTTGACAGTTTTGTTTTACATCTTAGGCGTGCTGATCCTGACGGCTCTGCGGGCTCCTGTAATGAGACATGACAGGAAGCTGTATGACGTGGCTGTAATAAAGCGAAGCAGAAATTACTGCGTTCCTCTGCCTTGATAACAGTGGCTTCTGAAGCCTTTGATGCAGCACTGGATGAAGGGCAGGCCTTGATGTTGCCGGTTTATTTCTTAGTGTGAACACAGTGTTGCGTGGAGCGAGTTTCTCTTCCGTTCAGCCATGCAGGAGCTATCTGCCTCATGTGGCTCCAGCTGCTGCTGCACTGCGAGTCCTCCCACGTTTCTCCAGCTTTTAGATACGTTTCTCCTCTTATCCTCACCTCCCATATAAATTCCCCTTATATTTCCTGTCTTATAATCTCACAATTCCCATTAAATACTGTAAATCTTTTCCTTTTTTGACTTCCCAAAAATAATGTCCACATTTCATGTACCTTTTTGTTTTTACTTTACATCAAAATTTTATTTTTTTGTTTACATTATACAGAGATCATGTCTGTACATTAAATCTCCTCTGTTTTTTTTTCTGGAGGATTTTTCCTTAGAGATACTGGCTGTGGGTGTTTGTTCCCATTCAGTCAAAAAAGCATGATGTAGGCCTGCTTCTGATGGGCTGACTCACTGTTCCACTTCAGCCCCAAAGCTGTTTGAAGACGTTCAGATCACAGCTCTGCAGATACATTTTCCAACAATGAAAAGGAAATCTTTCCCTGTTTCCCTTTTTTTTCCTGGGCTTGATCCTGCTCACATGTTTGAATGTGTGAACCCTATGCATCCAACTCTCTGCCTAGTGAGCCAGTTTGTTTGTTCGTTTGAATTCATACATGCTTATGTGCATCACTGTGCATGTTCCCCTGCCTGCTGTTTACAAGCCCTCTGGGGTCCTGTGTTCAGTGGAACAGAGTAAGTTTGGTGATAGAACGCATGTTTGGAGATGTTAAAGCTGAGTCACACAGAAAGTGAACTGGAAGGCAGTGATTCAATAAAAAGGAGGCTTTAGTAAATGTTGTATAGAGGAATCAGGATTTATGATATTTTCAGTTTGTGCAAAATTATTCATATTCAGATGTTTTAGATTTTGTTACAGAAAACTTCTATGTATTTCTTCTAGGTTTAATGTAATAAACTGTTACAATGTAACGAACGTAATGAGTGATAACTAAAACTGGTGCATGGTTTTTTAAATTTCTTTACAAGTATAAAAGTGAAACGTGGTGTAAAACCACATTATATTACGTTTTGGTAGAGGTGGTTCACTATTTAAAGCTACAGTGTGTAATAATTACAGGGATATACAGTCAGAAATGTAATATATTATACATAACTATGTTATTTTATCATCATCTACGAGCTCAGCCTCTTAACCTTAATATTTGCGTTGCCTTAGAATTCGTTATTTATAATTACATAGGAGCGGGTCTCGCAGCCATGGAGGCAGACATCTTTGCGCTACGGCAGCGCAGAGCCAACAAACTAGCGATTGCGAGATCGACAAAACGTCACAACGATGTAGAAAAAATAACGGGTATATTTATTATCTCAAGTCTACATGAAATCTATACCCTACACAGACTAATGAAATACTATCTGTAAAATTATCTATGTAAACAAACCTCATCACTTGAGAAGGTAGGTGATGCGGATGTCGTGGAAGACATTTTTTCCCGTAACGCTCGCCGTACTGTTCGGGGGGAGAAGCGGTGGGGGGGAGATGTTCATGTTGCTGCGGTCTGCAGTCTGACCGCTAGACGTCGCTGAAAGTTACACATTGTAGCTTTAAGGAGCAAAGAGTTGCGTCTTCAAAAAGACCATTAACCCCATGTGTGCTGCTCCCTAAGGAAGGGGTTAAACTCTGAGGAGAAATATCCCCCAATGTGGGACTTTAAAGGGATATTTTATTTGTTGTAATCATAGGTGCAAGCTTTTTTTTTTTTTTTTTCCTTTTTTTTTTTTTTACAGACTATTGATATTCAGGTTTTGATTTCTTAAAATTTTTAGATTAGGAACCCTAAACTGGTTAGGCCAGAAAAAAAAAAATGTTAAGGTTTTTTATTTTATCTCCATTTTTCTTCTCATCAACTCTGACCAGCTGCCTTATTCCTGCTGGAAAAGAAAGACATGAATCTGCTGTCACTATATTCCACCATGACGATGGTGTGTGTATGGAGTCTGACAGGGACTTCAGGGTTTAACAAGTAGGCCTATGTCTTTTCCTCACTAATCATGGCTTGTGGCAAAAATTTTAGATGG